CAGAACAGCATCCAGCCCTGATCAGCACCACGATTGTCGTCTCTGACATGAGGCCCTACGAGAAGAATCCTGGCAGTGCCTGCCCCCCCTTCCGGTTGTCAAGGAAACTTCGTTGGGGAAGTCTTTTGACGACGCGTCCGTTGCTAGCGGATGTGCCTCGTTCGAAGCGTGGGCGACGGTATCGAGCCGATTCTTCTGGTCTCACTCCCCTTGCTTAGTTGAGTTTTGTTCCTGTGCTTCGGACCCAGGTGAATCGCTCTTTTGGCACCTTTTTCCTGGTCAAGACCATCCACTGTTTCGCAGATACCGATCCCAAAGTACTTTCAGTCCGATCCCCATTCCTTTCTTCCATTGCCGCCCTTGGGCGGAAGATTTGCCCGGTCCTCGTCAGCCATTGTTCTGCCGTTTTTCTAGCCTTGGGGCCCTCATGTGCAGTTGTTGCAAACACCAGTTAGGAGCCTGCATACGTGCATCGGTCGCATCCTGATTTCTGAGGTGTCGTGCTGCGAATTTTCTTGCTCGCCATAGGTTGGATCTTATTCCACCGTGATAATTTTCGATGAGTTGGATGTTCCCTGCTGGATTGCCCAACACCACAACTGCCTCTCGCCGGGTTACCTTAGTGGTTTAGGACCTCATTCCACCTTAAGTCGGGGTTTTCTGTGCAGGGTCTTTTTAAGTGACCTGGAGAAGCCAGGAGCACACAATACGTGCACGGGGGCACCCGCCCTGATGTCTGAGGTCTCTTTTTGTGCATTTTTCTACCCGCCTTCCCCTTGCTGGGTCTCCGCAGCTGCCCTGCCATTGGGCCCTTAGATACCATAAAAAATCCTTTCTCCTTAGGTCTTGCGCTTTCGTGTCGCGTTCTTCCTAGCGACCGCGAGCAGCCAGGAGCGCGCAATATGCGCATTGGCCATGCAGGGACCGAAGCCCAGATCTCTGAGGTTCCACCTTGCGCATTTTTGTGCTTGCTACGCCGCCGCGGCAGCCGCCCCTTTTCGGATTTCCCAACAGTGCAGCTGCCCTGCTCCGAGCCAGCCTAGTGGTTTAGGACTTCCCTTCCCTCTAAGTCCGGAGTAAAGTTTTCGTGCAGCGATTTTCTACGAGGCCCCGCGAAATCGCGCACAATGCGTGCATCGGTCGCTCAGGGGCACGAGCCGCCACGAGCCCTGATTTCCGAGGCTGTCTTTCACAAGACCTTTTGCCAGCGGTCCGAGGATCCGACCATCGTCGTTCTCTTGACGCACAATCCTCTGTATCTTGTGAAGCAATAAGGGCGTGGGATTTTGGGGTATTTGCCTCTTTGTGAGAGGTATTTCTATCTGTAGTGCACAATGTGTGCGCGACGAGGTGGACCATCATATTCAACCCTCTTCCTCTGGCGGATTCATATGTGTACGGCGCGGATCTCGGACGTGACGCCCCTGCATCCTGGCAGCAGCCTCCGCCAAGCCGTGCGTGCCCCGTGGCGCTGCCGGTCTTGGCTGCGTTAGGTTTCCTTGTCCGAGTGTGCTCCCAAACTGTGTGGTCGGAACATCAAGCTCGATCCGTTGGCTGCCTTGCCTTGCTTGCTGCCTTACGGCTTCCGATGGGAATGCTCCTTCGCCAACTTGGCATTGGACGCTCGCCTGTTGGCGGCAGGTTTTGCTTCCGCTTTGTCGCGGATATTCCTTCTCACATCTGTTTTTTTGGTTGCCGGGCACGGACCGTACATAAGACCCGGGCCAAGGACCACACCGTGAGAAGGGCCCACGCTGGCTGCGCCGGCCGCTGCCGTTACGGTCGGTTTTGTGCAACCGTGCTTTGCTGGCCGGGTGCTAGGTTTCTCTCGCCTTCCGTGTGCTTTAGCAGGTCCAGGACCTTGGATGCAAGCCTGCCGATCCACTTGGCAGTATGCCTGGGCCAGCCCGGGCGATGTTCATTCTTGAAACGGTGCCCATGGTTCCCACAGCCGACATGACAAAGCCGTTGAAGAACAGGTCCTGCCGGAATGTGAGGTGCGCTACCTTGGTACCACGCTTTCGACGAGGCATACGAGGACCAGCCTCCATCAACATTTGAGGACCGCGCTCCTATCGACGAGAAGTGGATTGGCTGAATCGTGTATACTTCATTCGTGCATCCTGTGCCAGTATAAATCAGTTCGGGACAGGGCCCCAAGGCCACACTCAACCGGGCAGCGTGGGGATCGATGAAGATGCAGGCCCATCCCAGCAACGGTCCAGAGAGATGCTTTCGCCCAGAAAGTATCCGATGTCGGCCAAAGCAAAGCCTAGGGCATGTTCCCTATGCTGAGAGGCTTGTGTGCTTTTGGGGCAGGCTCCATTGGGGAAAGCACAAAGGTGCCCGAGCTCACCGGACGAGGCCAGTGTGTGGCCGCACGGACATCTGTGTTGCCGACTGGTGCAATCTGCGTTGGATAGTTCTGGATTCCCGTCACTTCCAATGCCGGCAGGAGAGCATCAAAGGAGCGAGTTGCACGCAACGGGAGTGTTGCATCAGAGGCCGGGGTGAGATCCTCCGGCGCACCCACCAAAACCGGGGTGAAATGCTCGACTAAGGTTTCCACCAGCTTAGCGGCGAAGAACATGGCAGGGCAGTCCTCCTGTTGTGCACTTTGTTCCAGGAGCGTTTGTATCTGTCCGGCTTCGTCACCGACGGATCGTCGGTGGTCTCCGGCCCGACAGGGGGTAGGTGTGACAGAGATGCGTGCAGGGCTCTGTGTTGTCCCGAGCATAGAGACCAAATTGGCTGCGTCGAAGGGCCGACAGGTCTAGCATACCACCCAGGTCGTGCGCAACTCCTAGCCAACCAGCTCTTTCAGTACGGTGTCAACATAGCCTGCCTGCAGGAAACGCGAGGTGAACAAGAATTCCTGCGGACGACCAGGGCATTTTTGAGATTCTGTTCTGGTGCTTGCAAGGGACAATGGGGCACCGAATGGTGGTTCCGGGAGGCCATGGCCTGCTGGTCTCCGCCAAGCACGCTACCGTCTCCTGTCGAGAACCACTATTTGCCGTGCTTCTGGCGGAGCCCAGACGACTCTTCATACGCCTCGCTTGCAGTGGTGTGTGCTTTGTGTTCATTGGGCTGCATGCGCCGGGCGCCGCAGCGGGCCACCGAAGCAGCCGTGCTTTCTGCATGGTGGTGCGAAACACACTCTTTCGTCCGGGCGCATGCCAGAGACCACCCGAATGCCGCCATCGGGAGTCTCCAATCTGCCTACTTTGGCGATTGTGGAGCAGAGCAAGACTGTACAGAAAAAAAAAGATGGGCCGGGAGAGGCCTTACATGCCATCCGGGAATTTGATGTTTGCCTACCCATTACGGAGGACCCTGTGCATACAGCGGCGCATCACACCTACGCGCAGAAGAGGGGAACTAGACTTTGCAGGCCGGATTTCCTTGGAGTCCCCTTTCCAACGACTATGCTACCTGGGTGAGCTCGTGCATGCCGGTCCTCCAGAGCTCCGGGCCGTTGTCAGGTCCGATCGACGGTACGCCCAACAGCTTCAAGAAGCATTGACGTGGTTACATTCCTGGACTTATGCCCCATTGTAACCTGGCATGACCTGGCATGACTGGCTTCCCTGTTGGGTAGCTATGGGAAGTTCAAGGGCGCAATCAAGTGCGCCGGAGAGCTTGATATATGCCGGCACACCGTTGTTGCTGCGTTGTCTGGGCGACACCGAGCCCTGATTCAAGTGTGTGGCAGGGCTAGACCTGACGTGCCCCCACAAGCTGCGCGCAGCTTTACCGAGGTCTGCATACCTTGTAGGAGTGCATTTAAATGTCTGTTGTCGTGGGCTGGGCACGCAGCCAGGAAACATGGATACCGCTCACATGTTTTCCTCTGTGCGCAGTCTGCCACATGTCTTGCGTGTGGACGCCAGTTTTCATCCATCGGCAGGCTGCGTCGGCACCTCACTGCCCGTGCTCAGTGTGTTAATTCTTCGGGGAGCTTCACCCCGGCTGAGTCTCCCAGTGCCGAAAGGCAACTTGACTTCACCCCCCAGGCCATGCCGCAGCCTTTGGAGGGGGATTGCCATGTTAGCGGTACGTCTGAAATATTTTCAGGGACTTGAAAGCCAGCGACCCTACCGATGAAACTGGAGCATGGGACTTAGTTGCTTCTTACGTCGCGCCCGTGTCAGTCCTCCGCAGTACTGTTCAAGCCTGGGCCGGTTCCGATGCAAAATGTCTCGTCAGGCATGCGACGGCTGCCAACCTTTTGCTTCTCCTTGATGTTGACCTTCTTGAGACCATGCCCAACCAAGCACGGCATTGCGTGCATTTCCGGAGGACAGCCTGCCGCCGTGGGAAGTCCCTAAAAGCGCCTTTCGTCAACAGTGGTGAGGTTCAGGCTTTTGACCTCGTCCCAGCGCCCACAGTGCACCTAGACCCTTCTGGCCCCGTAAGCATGCGGCTCCGTGAGGCAAGGGTGGATGTTAGCTGGCTTGAAGCAGGATGTAGCAAGCTCGCAGGTCGCTATGATGCTAAGCACGATTTGCGAGAAGCTTGTTGTCCTTCGTTGCAACGGCTTGGAAAGAGCTCTGCGACCTGCAAGCCTTTGGCTGCGCCAGGCTGGGTTTGTCCTTGACGTTTACGGCGTCGCATTCCCTAGCGACTAGCTTCCCTCTTTGGTTTGCCACTTTTTCAGTTTGAATTCGTTTGCGAAGCGAGCACCCGAACCGGGCTCTACTGCTGAGAATGAAAATGTGACGGTTTTTCCACCACGGCCGGGCAGCATGCTTAAGCACCCTGCTGCTGCCGTTCGCTCGCACCAAACGGGGTGTGCGGGAGACCCCCCCAGGCCCGCAGCACGAAAGAAAGAGATGTAGGTGCAGAATATAAAATTCTGGCAGTTGGGGCTTCTTACCACTTTCTCTAACTGCAAACTACCTTCAACTTCGATCTCGTGAGCGGTTCTGTCAGATGACGAACTCGAGACCTGGCCTGTTGACGAGTTAGAACGGACATAGCTGGAAAAACTCACTTAGGAACGCCGAGTACTTGATTCGCAAGAGCGTGGAGTTCCTCAAGGAAGCCGGGTAGCCATGGGCCACCACCGTTATGTTGTCGGCAACACGGCACGGTCTTTTCGGGATGGCTGCTTGCGATCCGTGCTTATGCAGCAGAAAAGTTGTCGCTCTTGGAAACGTAGTGAGACGGGCGTTTTGGAGCTGGAGCTTGCCGTGCATCCCGACACACATCGCCCAAAACAGAGTATAACGTTCCCTGGTTGCCTTTCTGCCCGGAGGACCGAACTGACAATCCCGAGTTGGATCTTCCGGATGCGGTGAAGATCATAGGTAACAGTGCGGGCCCCAGAGCGGTGCGTGATGGCGCGTGAATGGCGGAAGATCGGCACACATCGGCGGGTGGAAGTAGTAGCTTTACGGGCCTCATGTAGAGTGTGCAGGGAGTTGCAGTTGGGAATCGCGCACGGTAGAAGAGAATAGAAAAGATGTTTGCAGGTAGTGAGCTCTTAGTGCTTCGCGGGTTTCCTTCCTCTACGCGGCAGCATGTGCTCTGTGGCACTGTAAGCCGTGGCCCGGCGTCGTCTTTTTCCCCCCTCGCAGTGGCACGTCGTCAGCAGCAGTACTGCTGCTTGAGCAGAATTGAGCATGTTGCTTACCTGGTGAGGTTGAATTGGAAACGTTGATGCTTACGGGTGTCATCAACGTTGGTTGCAGCATAGTGCCCAGGTCACAACCTTTGCCAGAGACTTCGCTGCATCGTTGTTTAGGCAAAACACTTTTTGTGGGCAAGGAGTGTGCGTTTGAGGCTTGGCTGATGTGTTCGTTTTCCAGGTGGTTCCAGATGTTTTTGTAACACTGTTCAGATGCCTCGAGTGGTTCGTTTCTCGGATCACATCAGTCTCTAAGCCAAGCCGACAGAAGCCGCAGTAGGAATAAGTTAAGCTGATCAGAGCAGAACCTGGTTGCCCTCTTCTTCACTTTGGCTACCATGTTTAGCATCGGCCAGATTACATCGTCGAGTCAAGGTGTCCATTACGACTCCCCTGGGATTCTGCCAAAGCATGCTGCATGACCTTAGACTGCATCCGATGTCACTTAAGGAAGCATGAGGAGTTTCTTCAACAGTCCCACAGCATTCTCTGCGACAACCTGGGCAAAAGTCCGGGCGAAGAAGGTGCTCAAGAGGGTGTGGGAGCGTGTTCTCACGACTGGGTACCGAACGGTAGCTTCAGTTGGGAGAGCTGCCTTCTGGGATAAAGGGGTTGGAGGAGGCTTGCTGCATGTCGCTGCAGCCTCATATACCATCGGGTAAGCCTAAAGGCAGCCACTGATTATGAAATGAATGCGGATGAGTAGCAGCGTGGCAAGACGACATGTAGGTGTCTGCATGTGCCAGAAGTTTTGCCACTTGAGAGCTGGACCTGCCATGAATGGCATGAGGGAGAAGCATCCCGGGGCATTTTGCAGAGGATCAAAGTCCGTGCATGGGAGTCAATTCTAGGCCTCTCGATATCGTGTCATGATTCCACAGTAAGATGCTTGGATCCTCCTTAAAAAGATTCTGATTTGAACATTAAAGCATGTGTACTTGAAATCCGTTCGGTACTGACGTTAAGTTGAATCATGCAACTTGATGATTGACAGTCTTCTTGAGTAGGTGCAGGCTATCAAGACTTGTCCTTTCTTCGAAACGGTGATATGCCTCTCTGTGTCCGTGAGGTATGCCAGGGCCGGTCGGCCTTGTGCAGCGACCCGAGGAACCTCCTGCAGAGGCAGGACTCAAGCTGCACAGAAAACTTTGGAAGGTTTAGGGTTTAGGGTTTAGGGTTTAGGGTTTAGGGTTTAGGGTTTAATGACAGAAAGCGCTCCAATGCCTCATAAGCCTTGTGTGTGCAATCGCTCATCTGTGAAGCAACGTAGTGATTCAGAAAGCCAATGCAGGCAGCATAGTCTTGCAATGCAGTGAGTGTAGCGGCGTAGCGTTCTAAGGTTTCACCATCCCGGACATGCATTCGAGGTCCCTTCCTGAGGCAACCATCACGTGCGAAGCATGGGAAGCAAGGTAAGCCCACCAGGATCAGAATGGTCTCTTCAATGAACATCTAAGCTACAAGCCCTGCATCCCCTGCGGCAGCTGTTGCAACGTTTGGCCAGGTGACAGCGACGGAAGATCAGCTTCCGGCGGACTTGCTGCAGAGAGGCTTGCTGGCCATATCTGTCAGACCTGAGAGTGATCTCTAGACATAGGTGGATCTTGGAGACCTCAGTCCAATAAACCCCAAACATCGACCTTAAACAAGTGCTTCCCCTGCCCGTATCCTCGGAAGCTCAGTTCGATACTTGATCCGCAAAATTCCGCAGTAAAAGGCTTGGAAAACCTCATCTCCATGTTCAACGACATGAAGCATTCCCAAGACGCCTGGCCAAAGTGTGCGGTGCAGTTTGGACGCGGGTTTGACGCGAAAGGTCTGAAGACAGTCTTGTCATGCCGGGTGGTTGCTGTTGTGCAGCTTTTGGCTTATCACTGATCTTGTAAAGGCCTGGCTTTCCATGGCCTTCCGCTGAACCAAGGAGGGCAGCCGTGAAAAGCTCCTCCATTGCTTGGCACAGGACTTGCGAACTCAACCTAAGGTGCACATCCACCAGCTCCATTCGGTTGACCAAATCTCAGACGCGATAGATTAGTATCACACCACAGGTACCAGAACTATCTTGCAACTCAGAGGAGCGCCAGCAGGCAGCCATGCGACGCCATCGGCATCCCAGCGATGATAATTTGGACTGTCTGCGTTTGCTTGGTTGGTCCAACGGCCCAGCTAGCGGCAGAGGTTCGCAGACAGCACAGCGATGTGCAAAGGCTCCAGGGCATCGTGGAGGAGTTCCGTTCCAGGGTCCAGCGCGCTCAGCGTGGAGTGGTGCGGCTCGTTCACTTTATGGGCAGCCCGGCTTCCTGTTTGTGCGTGGTGTGTACGAGACTATCCAGGCCGCACTTGATGCCTGTGGGATGCCTAGCGTTCTGAATGAGGGTGTCCGTGTAATTTTGCTTGATCAGATTGCAGAGACAAGCCATGACAAGCCATAGGATAGCCGAGGTACGGCCGACTTTGGTAGCATTGCACATGTGCCAGACCAGATCGAAAACGACGCTTGCTGTGATAAAGAGTCCAGCTGCCAGTCTTGAATGTAATTGCATCAACGTGTCTCGTTCTGCCGCTTCGCGACATCCATGGGATTGTCAATCTGTCATTGATGCAGCGGCCTCGTGCGCTGACACGAACCTGATAGAGGAGAGGGGAGCCTGAAGCTGTTATCGAGCGTCACTGTAGAAATCCCATCGAAGCCGAGGATGTGATGCGCTGCTTCGGTTCGCGGCCAGCGCTGGCGCGAGAGCAGCTGCAGCCAAGCGAGGCATTGCCATGGCTGGAGCCCATCTTGAGACTGAGTTAGACTATCTGACTATCCCCAACATTCACCTAAACCCTAAAGCCCGAGGAAAAGAGCCTTCCCCAAATCCTAAATCCTAACTCACTTTTCCCACAAGCGGCCTTCGGGAATACCTGGTTTTTGAAGCACGCAGGTCAGCCGAAGCCTAGAAGGGGATGGCATGGGCAACCAGAAAATGCCAGGTACATGTGCGTAGCAGGGAGTCGAACCTCTCTTTGATCTGTTTGACACGAGGAGAGTGGGCTAGGGCCCAAGCAAAGCCCTGGTGCCTTGAGGTTTTGAAGCTGGAGCGGGAATGCCGGCAGATTCAGGAGAAGTTTGCTGCAACCTGGCTGCAGAATCCACAGCTTAGCCCTCAGAAGAGAAGACGACTTCGATTGAAGCCCAGGAGCTGCTGACCGAGTTTTCCAGCCTTGTGGAATGCCAGCCGACAGTTTGGAACATTGCCACAAGCAGCTTGGGGCCCAGGATCCCACAAGATTCTCAGAGAACAAAGTCTTTGCTTTTCTTCAGGTCGTCGCCTCGTGACAAACACGTAGCACAGCGGACCAAAGAAGGCGCCGTTTTCGAAGGCGCGGGGTTGGGCTAGGGCCCCTGGCGAGACTCGGATGCTATGCTCTTGGCTTCCTGCGCAGGCGCTGAGTCTGCCAATGAATCTCCCACCGTCTCCGAATGGAGCATGCGACTCTCAGAATTCAAGAACGCCCATGTCTAACTCCTTCGGAAAACTAGAGCTTGCTGAGATGTGACCGATACTTATTATACGCATGAGATCATGGGATGATGAACGGAGATGCTATCATCAGCCTCCCCGATCGCAACATGAACAAGTTTGATGCTCCATCCATCTGTTATTGGCAGCCTGGACTGTAGATACTGCTCTCAAGGCATGCACGGTCTCCGATCCTTGTGACCGCAGCCTCCAGCTTTCTTGCGAGTTCCCAGCACAACCGTTCGCTCTCAGCCGCTTATCGTGGTCTGACGTGATGCTGCTCGGCCAGTTGGGAGACCACTGAGGATTCAGGCTTCTTTTCAATCTACTCCCTTGTGGGATGGCATGTGATCCGCGACAGACACAGACAGCCAGCTAGCTAGCGGAACGATAGGACCGACAGGACCGACAGAACGACCGACCGACCGCCCGGCCGTCGGTCGGCCGAGAGACAGAAACAGACACACACACACACAGAGACAGACGGACGGACAGACAGACCGACGGAGGGACGGAGGGGCGGACGGACGGACGGACGGACGGTCGGACGGACAGAGAGAGCAAGGAAGAGAGAGAGAGAGAGAGACCGTCTCCCCAGCACAGCCCTGGCGAAAGAAAGAGACCGTAACCATTTTTGGCTCGAGTCTCTCACTTTTGTGGCAAACCGGCTATGACCTGGAGACCTGGTGAGAGGGCTTGAGACCACATGCTGTTAAGTTCGGCTCACGAGGTCCCCTTCACAGGGAACGCGCAAACCCTCATGTGACCTTGGCCCTTTGCTCTGTGCAAATGTGGCCCCGTAGTACATCGGGGCAGCATGCTACCGCCGCGGCCATGATGGCCGACAGAACCCAATGGACTTGAGGACCTGCCGATCACGATAAACTACCCCCACTCCCCAGAAGGCCAAAAGACAACATGCAACAGAGCCCAACAGTCGAGGACCAGCACGAGTGCAAGGCCGTGGACCCCAACGCGGACAAGGACCAAGGCAACAACAATAAAAGATGAGACCAGCAGGACCAGCAAAACCCCCGAATCAAAACGCGTCATAAAGGCAAAGCTGGCACCAAAGAAGTGCAACCCGCGGAGTACCCCGCCAACAACTACCGTGATGACCATGACCCAGGCCATGGGCAGGGCACCACTGTCGTCATCGTCCTCGTCTTCCACACCAGCGCCCCGATTGATAAAACGGACAAGACTGGACTTGCAAAAGAGAAAGCGGGCACCAGCAGTTCAAGTACAAAACCTGTTGGCCCGATTCACGGGGCACCGACGATGCCTTCTAGGACATCATGGATTGGGGCGAGCCCAGACAGGAGTCCAAGTTCAGCGGCAAGCAGGAGCGGCACCGGCAACAGCCATCTCCGCGCCCTCTTGGTCGTTACGTCGGGGGCCAAGTTCAGAGGAGGAAAGAGCCATCCATGAAAAGGCGAAAGCCACCACCCTGAATGACCAGGTGGTGCGCACTGGTGGACCAGCCGTGAGGCTGTCGGGGAACACCAAGGTTGTAGAGTCCATGCCCGGGCACACCAAGGTTGTGGAGCCTCCTCTTTACCACGAAAAGACATTGCCGGGCAAAGACCCGGAAACACCAAGATGACGGAGGGGGACCAGCCGCAAACGTGGCGGGCAGCACGCCATTAAGCAAGAACTTGGAGCACCCAAGACGAAGAACCGAGTGGACTAGGCAAGCACAATGACATGAGCGATGGGGATGGCACATCAGATTATAGAGATGCGCATCAAGCCTGGGAAGACCATGTGCAGATGAGCACAAACGGAAGCGGCACAGAACTGTTCTCTTGCACATAACCGAGGGCACCCCAAAACCGTGAGCGGAATCAAAAAAACCTGACAAAGGCTGTTCTGTCTTTGGTGATGCAGTACAATCGTTTCTGGATCGCTAAGCTTTTAAGGGGTTTCAACTTTGCTTTGCCACCACAGAATGGAGTGAGCACAAAGCCTTCGAGGCCGTTAATTTGATCTCGGTTTTCTCTACCCACTGTGTCAAGCCGGAGTGTGAGCGGTGTCGGCAATGTTCCAGTTCCGCGTGGAGTTGTTATTGTGCACATGTCCAGCTGCTACTTATATTCGGGAGACAAGCCTTTGCGGCGACTCAGACCTACATCTGACTATTTAACCCCTTACCAGCAGCGAGCTGCAATAGCAGGGGGCAGGATGTTTCTAGAGAGCCTTCAGAGCAACATGTAAGCGCTGCTCTCAGTGGGGGCCAATGTTGCTACCTCATTGGTTGTAGCCAAGCAAGGAAGCGAGTGATGGTGGCCACTGCAAACATTTTGCTGCAGCTTGTGCCGACGAAAGATTGTCGCTGTTAAGCTCCCCTGATACGCAAGGAGAGTGCACGTGTTGTGCGGGATGCAGCTTATTGGACAAGCAAGCAAGCAACACATAAACAAGCAAACGCGCAAACAAACAAACAAACAAGCAAACGATCCAACGAACAAAATAACGAGTGTCATGAGCGGAGATGAACGTGAAAATGAGGATGAAGGTCCCACCAGCTGCCCGCGACGGGGCCCAGGCGCAGACCAAGCAAGTAGGTTCGCACCCGTCGCTGGGGGTGTCTTCGTTGACAAAGACGCCTGTCCCCTTGCACTCCTGTCGTTAGTATGGTCAAGGATTCCCCACACAGGTGCTGACTACCAAGCTGCAATGCGGCACAATTTGAACAGGCGCTCGGAGTCGCTTCTTGACTGTGGCTTGATGCCTTCACGATGGTGGTTGCGGTCGAAGCACACTTTCAGGGAAAGGAATGAAAACCGAATTCTTAATTCACAAAGAACAGCAAAACAACGAAAAATAACCACTAAAAGGAACAAAAGGACTTCGTGATCTCAATGATCTCTTATTCTCAGCGACTGCATGATCTCATCTTGATGGTCTATGCATCTCAAAAGAGGACTTTCCACCTCAAAGTTAGACGTTCTGGTCTGTTGTGTTTTGGGCCGGCTGGAACCTCTCCAAAAGACCTTGCGCCCCACTCGGGGCTTTAGCTCAACAGTTACTGCCTCGAGAGCAGCGGTACTGGCGCCCTGACGGAAAGCCATGCCCGATCACGCTTGTACAGCGAGCTTCCCCGGTACAAGTGTCAATAGATCCAACTCAGATTTCGTTGCTCAAGAAAATTTGAAGGGAGGTCCCCAACAGGCTGGATGTCCTTGCATAGGGTTTACCAGAAAGAAAATTTGTAGCCAAGAGACAGCGATGAAAATGAGATGAAGATGTTGGCACCAAGTATGCGAGACGTAAAAAATGGCATACAAAACTGGACGAGATGATCCGTATATGCGGTAAGGTGTCTGGCCGCGACATCAAATAAGGCGAATGATGTAGAATGCAATGAGATGAAGGTGAACATGAGGGATGAAGGTCCCGCCACCTGCCAACGAATGGGCCCAGGTGCAGACTAATACAGGTACGTTTTCACCCTCTGAGAGCTCCGGTCCGTTGCATTTTTGTAGTGGTAACGCCCAGTCTGGTCTTGTTGGAGTTTGGGCTCCCCGCAGACATATCGACTGACTGACTCAACTTTTGTTCAAATTTTAAATTCAGGGTTCAGTTAACTGCAGATCACCCAGTCTGCAACCTGGCTCCTGCTGCGTCTGCCCGAGGTTCAACCGCGGATTCGCTGTGAGCATGAGGCATTGGCTTTAATTACGCTGAAGTGTGGCAATTCGAGTCCTGTTCCAACCATGCAGAGCGACTACGGTTGAAGTAGCCTGGAATGTCGACAAAACATACATTCAAACAAACATTTGGTCGGCTTCAGTTGTCAACTTCTTTTTATTTCAAGCGCCTGGTGTCAGTTCCAGAATGTGATACCCGTACAAGAAGCGGAATGGCCGGCATCAACTGCAGGTCCTCCGTGCAGTACATCACGAAATCCCGTTGGCGATTGAAAGGCAGGCATCGGGGGCTGTCGCGGACATGAAACTTGCCATCAACGAGGTTTGCACCAGGCAACAAGGCAAGATTCGCTCGGATTTGATTCCTTTCAGAAGGGCAGTCGTCGCCAAAAGCGACGGTGCCAGGGTAAGCTCCAACTACTCAAGTTGCACCTCAAGGCACGATGACCGGGTGTGCGAGAGTCTCGAGTACGTCGAGTGAAGAGCGTGCGAGGCATCGGTCCGATGGCAGCAGGCCTGCGCCTGGCTGCGGCGTGGCTTGGCAGGGAAGTCGCCACCTTTGGGGCATTCGGCCTCGACATCCACTGAGGCGGTCCGTGCCGGCCATCTCCACCAAGGTGGGGCACAGACAGCAACAGAAGTCTTCCCCAAGCGTTGGCCCACTGCAGGGCTTCTCCATGATGTCTGCAGAAGTGCAGCGCTCATCATCGTGGACGCCGCCCGCCAAGGCCACCAAGACACCAAGCCACCAAGCCACCAAGCCTGAGCTGCTTGACGGTGGGTGCATGCTGTGAACATGAGTGAACTTCGACAGATACTCAGGTGGAGATGTCATTGGCGCCAGTGAAAGAAACGCAGGTTGAGCCTGTGGTGGAGATCACGTACGAGGAGCCCCTGAGATCCAATTTTAGGCGGCTCCTTCTTCAGTTCTTGACTGGCTGGAGCTGATACTCCTTGAGAGCTGATACTGGCTACTGTTTGTCTTCAGTCTGCTTCATGCCCAGGTTGAAAAGTCTCACGCCCGATGTTCTTGACAAGCTTCGCAAGGCCTTTTCAGGTTGCCGCCTAAGCTTTTATTTTTGTCAAAATTCGTCACAGACGTAGCAGGGGCAGACCTGGTTCTTGCCTGATGGCTCTAAGATGCGATGAGGCCCACGCGCATACGGAGCTGTGG